CATGGTAAACATCCTGACAATTTTTATTTCCAAGCGAAAAAGGTAAAAAAAAGTTCCAAATTGAACGATATTATCCAAGCTTTTTGAGGAATTTCTAAGGTTACGGGGGCCGGTGGCAAAAAGAATTGAGGCTCTAGGGGATACATCTCAGAGTCATATAATGTCGTTTGGAACAATATATGACCATTATATGTTGTCATAAATGTCCGTGGTAGGCTTGAGTTCACGAAATCGGTGCAAATTGTGAACTGGTAAATTGACCGTTTTAAAGCAAATTGGACGGTTCTACCCACCTAATTGGACTCTCGGAGGGTATTAGGGACCATGGTAAACATCTCGGAAACTTTAATTTCCGGGCGAAAAAAGGATAAACAAATTCTAAAATTGAAGGTTATTATCCACGCTTTTTCAGGAATTTCGAAAGCCACGGGGCCTGATGGCGAAAAGTCTTGAGGACTAAGGGGATACATCTCAGGGTCATATAATGTCGTTTTGAACCAGATATGACCATTATATGTTGTCATAAATGTCCGTGGTAGACTTGAGTTTACGAAATCGGTGCAAGTTGTGAACTGGTAAATGGACCGTTTTAAGGCAAATTGGACAGTTCTACCCACCTAATTGGACTCTCGGATAGTATTAGGAACCATGGTAAACATCTCGGAAACTTAAATTTCCCGGCAAAAAAAGGTCAAAAAAATTCAAAAATTGAAGGTTATTTTATCCACGCTTTTTGAGGAATTTTGTAGGTTACGGGGCCCGGTTGCGAAAAGAGTTGAGGCCCTAGGGGATGCATCTCGGAGTCATATAATGCTGTTTGGAACCATATATGACCATTATATGCTGTCATAAATGTCCGTGGTAGGCTTGAGTTCACGAAATCAGTGCAAATTGTGAACTGGTAAATTGATCGTTTTATGGCAATTTGGACGGTTCTACCCACCTAATTGGACACTTGGAGGATATTAGGGACCATGGTAAACATCTCGAAAACTTTATTTTTAGAGCGAAAAAAGGTCAAAAAATTCAAAAATTTAAGGTTATCATCCACGCTTTTTGTGAAATTTTGGATGTTACAGGGGCCGGTTTCGAAAAGACTTGAGGCCCTAGGGGATAAATCTAAGAGTCATATTAAGGCGTTTGAAACCATATATAACCATTATATGTTGTCATAAATGTCCGTGGTAGGCTTGAGTTTACGATATCGGTGCAAGTTGTGAACTGGTAAATTGGCCGTTTCAAGGCAAATTGGACGGTTCTACCCACCTAATCGGACTCTCAGAGGGTATTAGGGGTCATGGTAAACATCTCGGAAACTTAAATTTCCCGGCGAAAAAAGGTCAAAAAAATTCAAAAATTGAAGGTTATTATCCACGCTTTTTGAGGAATTTTGTAGGTTACGGGGCCCGGTTGCAAAAAGACTTGAGGCCCTAGGGGATGCATCTCAGAGTCATATAATGCTGTTTGAAACCATATATAACCATTATATGTTGTCATAAATGTCCGTGGTAGGCTTGAGTTTACGATATCGGTGCAAGTTGTGAACTGGTAAATTGGCCGTTTCATGGCAAATTGGACGGTTCTACCCACCTAATCGGACTCTCGGAAGGTATTAGGGGCCATGGTAAATATCGCGAAAACTTTAATTTTCGGGCGAAAAAAGGTCAAAAAATTCCAAAATTGAAGGTTATTATCCACGCTTTTTGAGGAATTTTGGAGGTTACGGTGCCTGGTTGCGAAAAGACTTGAGACCCTAGGGGATATATCTTAGAGTCATATAATGTCGTTTGGAACCATATATGACCATTATATGTTGTCATAAATGTCCGTGGTAGTCTTGAGTTTACGATATCGGTGCAAGTTGTGAACTGGTAAATTGACCGTTTTAAGAAATATTGGATGGTTCTACCCACCTAATTGGACTCTCGGAGGGTATTAGGGACCATGGTAAACATCTCGGAAACTTTCATTTTCGGGCGAAAAAAAGGTAAAAAAATTCCAAAATTGAAGGTTATTATCCACGCTCTTTGTGAAATTTTTTGAGGTTACAGGCCCGGTTGCGAAAAGACTTGAGGCCCTAGGGGATACATATATCTCAGAGTCATATTAAGCCGTTTGAAACCATAAATGACCATTATATGTTGTCATAAATGTCCGTGGTAGGCTTGAGTTTACGATATCGGTGCAAGTTGTGAACTGATAAATTGGACGTTTCAAGGCAAATTGGACGGTTCTTCCCACCTAATTGGACTCTCGGAGGGTATTAGGGGCCATAGTAAACATCTCAAAAACTTTAATTTTCGGGCGGAAAAAAGTCAAAAAATTCCAAAATTGAAGGTTATTATCCACGCTTTTTTAGGAATTTTGGAGGTTACGGGGCCCGGTTGCGAAAAGACTTGAGGCCCTAGGGGATACATCTTAGAGTCATATAATGTCGTTTGGAACCATATATGACCATTATATGTTATCATAAATGTCCGTGGTAGACTTGAATTTACGATATCGGTGCAAGTTGTGAACTGGTAAATTGACCATTTTAAGGAAAATTGGACGGTTCTACCCACCTAATTGGACTATCGGAGGGTATTAGGGACCATGATAAACATCTCGGCACTTTAATTTCCGGGCGAAAAAATGTCTAAAAATTCCAAAATTGAAGGTTATTTATCCACGCTTTTTGAGGGATTTTGGAGGTTGCGGGGCCCAATTTCGAAAAGACTTGAGGCCCTAGAGGATAAATCTTAGAGTCATATAATGCTGTTTGGAACCAGATATGACCATTATATATTGTCATAAATGTCCATGGTAAGCCTGAGTTTAGGAAATCGGTGCAACTTATGAACTGGTTAATTGACCGTTTTAAGGAAAATTGGACAGTTCTACCCACTTAATTGGACTCTCGGAGGGTATTAAGGACCATGGTAAACATCTCGAAAACTTTAATTTTCGGGCGAAAAAAGGTCAAAAAATTCCAAAATTAAATGTTATTATCCACGCTTTTTAAGAAATTTTTGAGGTTACGGGACCCGATTGCGAAAAGACTTGAGGCCCTAAGGGATATATCTCAGAGTCATATTATGTCGTTTGGAACCATATATGACCATTATATGTTGTCATAAATGTCTGTGGTAGGCTTGAGTTTACGATATCGGTGCAAGTTGTAAACTGGTAAATTGACATTTTTAAGGCAAATTGGACGGTTATATCCACCTAATTGGACTCTCGGAAGGCATTAGGGACCATGGTAAGCATTTCGGAAACTTTAATTTCCGGGCGAAAAAAGGTCAAAAAATTCCAAAATTGAAGGTTATTATCCACGCTTTTTGAGGAAAATTTGGAGGTGACGGGGCCCGATTGCGAAAAGACTTAAGGCCATGTGGGATATATCTCAGAGTCATATAATACCGTTTGGAACCATATATGACCATTATATGTTGTCATAAATGTCCGTGGTAGGCTTGAATTCACGAAATCGGTGCAAGTTGTGAACTTGTAAATTGACCGTTTTAAGGCAAATTGGACGGTTCTACCCACCTTAATGGAGTCTCGAAGGTTATTAGGGACCATGGTAAACATCTCGGAAACTTTAATTTTCGGGCGTAAAAAAAGTCAAAAAATTCCAAAATTGAAGGTTATTATCCACACTTTTTGAGGAATTTTGGAGGTTACGGAGCCCGGTTTCGATAAGACTTGAGGCCCTAGGGGATAAATTTTAGAGTCATATTCAGCCGATTGGAACCAGATATGACTACTTATGTTATCATAAATGTTCGTGGTAGGCTTGAGTTCACGAAATCGGTGCAAGTTGTGAACTGGTAGATTGATCGTTTTAAGGCCATGTGGGATATATCTCAGAGTCATATAATTCTGTTTGGAACCATATATGACCATTATATGTTGTCATAAATGTCCGTGGTAGACTTGAGTTCACGAAATCGGTGCAATTTGTGAACTGGACCCAAACCTAGTGGAACCAATTCCGGGTCTAGAACCGCCGGTTCCAAACCCGTTCCGGTTCCAAAACCAGATACCTGGATTTTCTGCTCACCCCTTGTTGGAACCATCTACCTTACCCTTAAACGATAAATTTAGCCGGTTATATATACATACCTTCTTTCGTCAACTCAGGGTACAACTGGCCTTTATGTGACCAAATAGTGGACATATATGGTTCCAAACAACATAATATGACCCAAGATGTTTTCCATGCCATCACTTGATTTTTCAATGAGTCCCAAAATCTCTAAAACTGGTCTAATTTCGTGTATTAAAGCCTTCAAATTTGTCCTTCTCTGAACATTTATGGACCCGTGAAGGTTATCCATTGAGGTGTTTTCCGGAGTTTCAAAAAGGCCCTAGGAGGTCTACTTAGTGCCTGAAACTATCTCATTCATGCCTTGACCCAACCCCAATGATTGGATGAGACACACTTTTAGGCAAGTCTATGCTTGTTTCTCAGGCTACCATAAAACCATACAATAACTGGTAGTTAGAGGCTGCTTGTCTTCATTAGTTCTTTTTTTTTTTTTTTTTTTTTTTTTTTAACCTGTCAAAAATTTATAACAACCTATATATCATGATGCATTCAGGTTCTCACAACAGTGGAGAACATGGGCAGCCCGTTTCATACAGGCAACATGGCAGCGATACTACAAAATAAAGCTCGAGTAATCTTTTACAAGAGATTGAACAATCAACTTCGGCAGAGGGTGGAAATTCACAAAATTTAGGTGCCTCCTTACTTTTGCCAAGGTTTTCTGTCAACGCACTGCGTAACCTGCTGGGATGTAACCGTCCTCAAAATGCCAGAAGTTTGCTGAGGACATACCTTAACCCGCAACAGCCAACTGAGCCAGATTTCACTTCTGAAGAAAGCCTCTTAGCCTCTTTCACATTTCAAGTAAATTTTGCTTCAATTTGTAGATTTATAGTATTATTTATAGATCATCACAATGTATGTAATATTAGTGTAGTAAAATCATATAGACAATCAAAAAGAGTTTGCTGAAATTCCTTCTGTATATTTATATCAAATATTTCAAGTGCAAAGTGAAGAATAGTCTACATGTACAAATCAAATCTTTTCATTTTTTTTTTTAAGAAAATCAAATCTTTTCATGTATATCCATGTCAATCTACAATCTGTGTCACTGAGGACAGCATTAAAATGTAATAGATGTCCAATTTGCAGCAGAGTTGATGCTTTGATATGATTGTCATTACTCATTTCTCGTTCCGTTCTTGGTATAATGTGTCAACAACATCCTGTAAGAACAATTCCATTAAGGACCAATTTAATGTTATGCATCGAAAACACAAGATTCAAATGTATTAATATGTACCAACCTGATAATACTTGAGCAATTGAGGCCTTTTCTTCTTAAAAGTTGGAGTCAAGAGATCGCGTTCCATGTCAAAAGGCACAGGGTCAAGATGTACTGCTTTGATTAACTCGAAACCTTTCAACTGTAAGAAAGAAAATGAATTGGACAATGCCAATACAGGAGGACTTGGTGCATTTGAACTCAGAAACTACTGTAACTTGGATTTTTAAGCTCTAATGTCTACTTTCACATGGATATTCAGGCCTTAGTGTCTGTTTGGCATTAGCTTTTTGGGTAGCTTAATATTATCTTGTGCATAGTGTTATGCAAAAACTACCAAAATTCGCGTTCCAAGAGAGCAAAGTACCTTGTTCTCTTTGGCAATCTGGTTGAGTCTCTCAATGAAGTAGGCCTTTGCTCCAGGATTCTGGCATAGTGAACTAAAATCACCTGCAATACCTTTTTCTTCAGCCCAGGATTCCAGAGCCTTCTTGTTGGGGTTGATAACAGCAACGAGGAAAGACTGGAAGCTGTTTCCATAAACCCATATCTGAAATAGACAGATGAATTCAGAACAAAGCAAGCTATAATTCTAATGATCCTACAGAATTGTTTATTCTTATGTACAGCATAGGTCAGACATACAGAATCGATTTCTGAGGCAAGATTGTATGTATTCTCCAAGTTTTCAACAGAAACATATTCTCCTTGCGAGAGCTTGAAGATGTTTTTCTTGCGATCAATGATCTTCATGCACCCATCTGATTGCCACTCTCCAATATCCCCTGTATAGATAGTTGATTATCTAACATATCAAAACACTGTTGTAGAAACTAATACATGTAGGCTTTTTTGACCATTACCTATGATCAGCTCTAGCCTCAGGGAACTAGGAAGTAAAATTTATCAGTTTAGATGAAGAAGAAAAGAAGAAGTTGATCAGACTAACCCGTGTGAAACCAGCCGTCAATCATGACTTCGTCAGTGAGGTCTTCTCGTTTATAGTAACCTGTGAAGAGGGTATTTCCTCGAATGCATACCTCTCCACGTGGAGTGCTGGAAAGAGCATCATACCCCATTTCTGGAACTGATTCTAGGCAGACATCAACATTTGGTACAGGAGGTCCCACAGTTCCAATCATTGCCATGTCATGAGGTTGTGCAATGAATGAAGCTGCACAGCTTTCAGTAAGACCTGTGTGATAATAGGAGATTCAGTCATTTTTATTTATTATGATTACTATTAGTTGTTATTATCAGTGAGAATGTCTATATAATCTTGAAGATTCAGTATTTTTCCCTACAGGATTCTTTATAATTAATATATACATACATTGCAAATTTTCACTCCAAGATAATCCACATAGAACTTGAAATTCTTCTAATGTATGCTAGTTCATTCTCAGTATCTATGCTAATAGGTCTATTACTTGGAGAAGGGTTGAGTTTAGTGTTGATTTGTTCATACAGAAAAATGACTAGTAAACAGCATACCATATCCTTGAAGCACATGAGCACATGTGACCACACGTAGGAAAGTTTCTACACTGGGAGCAAGAGGTGCTCCTCCTGAAAGAATTAAACGAAGTTTCCCTCCAAGACCCTCCTTGATCTGAGGCCACAACGATAGCAAATATATTAAACAAGAGAGTTAAAAGTATAAACCTTTTTAAGAGGAGAAGAAATATCCATCAATCTGAAACTCTTATGACAGCTCATACTACCTTACTAAAAACGATCTTATCAAAAAGGGGGGAAGCTTCTTCGTGCTTATACCCTTTGTTCAAGTTTCCCAATTTGCTGCAAAATTCAAAACATAGGTTAATTTACTTTCAATTAGAGAAAAATACAATTGGAGTATCCTTTCACAACCAATTACCTATGTTTACAGGTACCCCAAAAACATTTTTGAGCTAATTCTAGGCTATGTGGATGCATATGCTTTTCTTTACTTTAATCTTTATGTTTTGTTATTTAATAGCCAATTTATAGGATTGCATAAGCTCAACTAGAATCCCTGCAGGTTATAGTTATATAGCTGTTACTGTTTCTCTTATCCAAATCCTTTAAGGAAGTGTTACAGATGCTTGATGTTGAAGAGGTTAATTCCTGTTTAAGCTTGTTTCTGGCTGAAAAATCTTCTCTAAAGTAAATACTCCCTCTGTACTTATGTAATGGGCCACATGTACTACTTAAAATTGTCTGACAGTATTATTAGGTCACTTTCTAAATTTAGTACGTTAAACTTTGAACTTCCCTATACTGCTCTTAAATCTTAATGATAACTTTTAACTCTTTAAGTAATACTGTATGACATAGTGCTCTAGAAGAAAGGTCACCCTGGAATGGAAATGTACATCTATGCTTTTCTGGAATTGTATTTGAATGAAAAGTCTCTCTCTTGTAAATAAATATTTTGTAAGCTTTAACTTACTAGGAGTAGGCGACATTGAATAATGTACGCTTCAGAGCCCCAGAAGATGAAATCTTTTCCATCAGACCTGATGTCACACAGAAATACAGTAGATGGGCCATCAGTATAAAAAGCAGTGAGTGCAACAGCACAAAAGATCATAATAGCTGCTTCAGAGGCTACTGCTACTCCCATATGCACATTAAACCATTTCTGATGCTTACCAGAATAAATTCTTTCTAGCACACGTGGAACAGAACAAAGAAGTGTTGGTTTCAGATCCTTGATGTCTTCAGCAAGTAGTTTGACATCCTGAATAAGCAATAGGCCAAGCAAGTATGAAGAAAAATTTCATTTGTTGTAAATATACCTCAAGGTTTTCACTTACCCCACGCCAATATCCTATTGAAGCACCAATTGAGATAAACAATTCCTCAACCACTCGATCAAAGATATGTGCTAGGGGAAGATATGAGAGGTATACATCATCCGGGCTAAGCTATCAAATGTTCCAAAAAGAATCACAAGAAAAGAAAATAAATGTCATACTACAGCATGATACATTGTCCGGTTTTCACAAGCAGGAAGGATGACTCTGACCTTACCTCTTCATTTATGCTCTTCAAAGAGAAATTTATGCCAGATACAACAGTAACAACAGTTTCATTTGAAATCAATACTCCCTTGGGTTCACTCGTTGTACCACTAGTATACATTATTGTGCAAATGTCGGATTTCTTTTTTTCAGGAAGTTCAAAATGTTGATTGTTTCCCTGTATGTGCATTCATGCAGATGAGTGTTAGAAATGTTACTTGGTACAAGTTCGAGGAGATTGGCACCAAATTGGGAAAAAAAAAAGTACAGGAAACTGAGCATGACATACAAGTTGAAGAAACTCATCCCAAGAGTAGACTGCCAAGCCTAGTCTTTTAGCATCTTCTTTATGGTCAGTTTGAACCTTACCAAAGCTCACAAGTGCTGTGTTACATAAAGATTATGTTAGTAAAAAATGAATCTTTTTCATTCACTGTTAATAAGGATACAAAAATTCAACTTACTTTTTAAGTATTTTTTTGTATTCGGCAATGTCTTGATAACCTATCCAAAAAGAGCCATAGTTGTAACAAATTCTGCCTTTAAAATCATAATAATAGAAAGAGTAATACTGATAAGAAGCTTAAACATATATGAACTTAGCCATCATACAAGTCATATGATTAAACTTTTATATGGAAAGAACATTGCAACTTTGCATGTAGCTCTGGAACTCTACGTCTGATTCACTTACCTCTGGCATCTTCTTTTCTTCGACAAAAGCAATAGACACCTCTGCGTGACATAAAATGAATTCTACTGCACCAGCACCTGTAGCAAAAACAGGTTAACACTTGTACATTGTCCAACTAGCAACAACTCTATTCTAGTGACATCCTTCTAGATAGTACTGACTTCATACCTAAGGAATCATAAAGAGGGACGCAATACAATCCATGAGCATTACAAGCCTGCAAACATTTAAAGCCGCAGACATCAATTTTATTTCTTCAATAAAAAAAGAGCTGCGTCTGCAAGTGTTAATCAGATCTGTACCTGCATGCTGATCATCCACTTTGGGCAATTAGTACTATAGATACCACATTTTTCTCCCTGCAAAATCGAAGTAAAATGAAAAAAGGTTAGGAAAACAAGCCACTTCAATAATCAATCATACATATAAATTCTACAGAATGTCATTTGTTGGCTCTGAAACTAACTTCAACTGTAAAAACTCTTACCATTACCAAGAAGAATGCTATGAATAAACAATGAACCACTCTATAGTCTGTACTATACCAAACACACAAGTTTTTGCTAATAACCCCCATCTTAAGGTTGTGTTTGGTTAAATGGAAAACCTCTTACAGGAAAATTAATTTTCTGATTTTGTTGGCTGGGTTGAGTTGAGGCTGACAAAATTATTCGCGAGAGGTGAAAAATCTTTCTTGTATGGAAGGAAATCCAAATTGTCCTCTTCATCCCAGCCTTCTCCTCTACATTAACTCCACTTCATCTCCCTGACTCCCTTTTCTTTCTTTTTATATGATAATTTTTTCCAGAAAAAGCAGAAATTCATCCTAGAACAAGAAATATTTTATTATGTCAAGAAATACAGTAACTCACTTTACTGACTCCACAGCTGCGGATAGATGCTCCGACTTTTATAACAATGTCATAAACCTCCTTGTATGTTAGCCAGTTATAGTTTCCTGCCTGTAAGTTATCCATGGTAGCACATAAAAAGGCAAGCATGTCAACATGTGAGGATAAGACACACAAAACAGAAAAAGGGATAATCTGTAATGCCTGCTTACTTTGCCATTCTCGGTTTCACGATATCCAAGCATTCGATTCTCAGGGAATTTCTCAACTGACATGCTGCAACCATGAAATATGAGCCAGCTTATCAAATAACTTGCCATATACATACAGATTCTTACATATTTTAGTAAAGTGAAGCACAAATCTCATATTTGACTATACTATAAGTCTATAAATGAAAGGAAACTCCTATGATCATACCGAAAAATATCCCAGCAAGTTTCCATCCCTGGTAAAAGAGGTGGGAAACCATCTTTAGCATTAACACTCCTGTAAACTGGTCCAACTGATGGCCTCCCGTGCTTCGCTTCTTTGCCACCCTCTACCTCCACCGCATACTTCTTCTCTGCCATTCCTTTTGCTGATCTTTTCTTTTTCTTTTGTCAAAAAACACTTCAGTTTTGATTTCAATATTTTCACTTCCCTCCATATAGATAATGCTCTTATAGAACATATAGACAACACAAGAAAAGTCCTTGGTAAGACTTTCAAGAAGTTAGAAGCTTTTGGTGACCAAATCAACCAAGTTTTTTGTTAAAATACAAACTTGGGTGACAGAGCAATTATTATTTACTAATTTACTGCTTATGTGACATATTTGGATTCATCTTAAGCTACTTTATTTCTCTATTTTTTTTATAGATTATAATAAAATGTTTGATATATATTGGATTATTCTTAAGTTACGTGTAACCGGTTGTATGTTCTAATTTACAGGTATTATATGTGCATTTTTTACATCATAAGCGAAGTCAAATGTAGATTTCACACAATAAAACGAGGATGATTTATTTCTCTGTGATTGGTGGTGGGTGGTAGGTTAGATCAGCTACTTTGAACAACCAAAAAAATAATAATAACTTCCAATGAAATGATGAATCATTCTTAGTGAAATGTTTTCTGTAACCTGTCGTATTCTAGAGTAAAACCATCGTAGAAGTAAAGTTTCTAACAAGCATAAGCCCACAATCTCTTATGAACGAAGTGTGAATAATTCAAAACTCGTAATTAAAGAATACCGAGAAAACAACAAATACATTACATTAGCATAAAGCCATAAATAGTCTGTTATTTAGTCTTCAATGCATATATCTACACAGCACACAAACATAATCTCTGCAGTTTCCTTTTATTAAAAGTATTTTTTTGCTTACGGCTACATATAACATTACCCTTACAAATTATGCAAATATAGTAATTTAAAAGGTGGAGCCGTAAACTTATCCAAACGTGGTAGCTCACACTTCACAATTCTACAATAATACTACTCCGTAGTATAATATTTCAATTAAACCTTTTTAGTGAAATGTTTTCTACAACTTGTCTTGTACTTGGATACTTTTTAAAGCCATGGTATAAGTAAAGTTTCCAACTTCATAACCTCACAAGAAAATATATCTTAGTCATAGACCCACCGAGGCACCAATCCAAAGCAAGTCAAAAAAAATCTACAAGCAATAGAGAGGGAGAGAAGAGGGGGCGGGGAGGTGAAGAAAACAGGAGTAAATAGAAGTAAATAGAAGTAAGAATCAAGGTACAAAATTGATTAAGCTGATAACGTTCTTAACATGGAATTAGAGCAAGGGCTTCAACGACATTGTTGTGCTGTAATGTTGCTTACAAAGATATTCAACTAGATTCTGATAGAATGAAAAACCTGACAACAAAAACAGTTGAGGCTTCTGTAGTATAATAGGGTACAATTTACTACTGCTTCTTTTTCTTCCTTCCCTTGTTCCCCTTTAGTTGTTCTTCAAGATATCTGATCCTTTGTTTCATAAGTGCATGTGAAGATGTCCTTCTGTCAGCAACTTTTGATGTCTCAGAGGGCTTAGATTCCGATGGAGTGTCTTGTTGTTGGGTTGCTGAAACTGATGGGAATTCTGACTGGGACTGTGATGTGGGTGTACTAGGTGGAGAGAAGGGTGCTTCGGTTAGATCCAAGAACTTTCTCACTTCTGGATGCCTAATAGCTGCAAGAAGGAAAAATTATCACAAAATTCACAATGTGAAACCCACATCTTCAATTCTTAATGAGAAAAGTGAAATCTTGCAGAACAGCCCAGCTAACTTGCCAGATGCTGTTCTAGATTGGGATTATAAAAAGGTTTTCGAAGATAAAATTACTTCAAGAATTCCTACCAAAGCAAACAATTTTCCAGAATTCTCTATAGAGCTTTAAGGCCAAAGTGGATACAAACACCGCAATAAACTTTTAGGTGGTCATGATAAACCAAAGGCTATCTCTTGTCCATGATCATACAAGTGGATGGCAAGAATACTTAACATTGTATAATGGATGCAGACTCAAACATCCCAAAATCCCAGGTGCTTAATTTTGTTATTTGTCAGAAAAGCACCTCAATATGCATTATAAGGGGTATGGATGACTGAGACTCATGGTAAAAGGACTGCCATACTACTGAACACGCAAAAATAAAACTGAGAAAAATCATAATTTGTCCATCACTGTAGATACTAATTCTACCTAATAGACCAGAAAACCAACAAATTAAATGGTCAAATATTCACCTAATCCATATGACATCGAAAACAGGTTGGAGGTTATCCAATAACAAAAGAGTGCCTGCAATAAAAAATAAATAAATAAATAAATAAAACTAGCTTTCTCAACATTAGAAATCAAATCAGGCATACATCCAAAAAGCTGCACATTTATGAATCAGTACTCAGTAGACATCAATAAGCTAAATGAATGCAAACAACACGGGGTCATTACATCATGCTAGCCTCACTGGAGAAACTAGAAAGTAAAAGGGGCACAGTAGAATAATTACTCCTCCACTCTTGTCTATGTGCTTGTGAAGTTGTAATCTGTCCAAGCCTTTCAACAAAAGTCTGGCTTTTTTATTTCTTTTCATTTTATCCGCTTTTTTCTTCCTACCCTTTGCCTATAAGGGATGAAAAAATTTTAAGCCGAAATCCCATCCCCCACCCATAAAAATTTGGCTCCACAATAAGAAGAGCATAATTTTATTGGCCCTTTTTTACCACTACTTTAGAAGAGTAGTATAAAAATCCCTTATTCAAAATAGTACAGTCAACTAACCAGAGAGAGAGAGAGAGAGGGGGGGGGAGGAACCCGACCTGAAACCAACCCTAGACTCGAGCATGTGAGACCCGAACCCGAACATGAACTAATCTGGAGATGACCTGACCCGAATGTAACCCGTAAATTATTGACCTGAACCGAACCAGACTTAAACCGAAATTGACCCAAACCCGTTTTAACCTGAATTTAACCCGACTTGTTACTAACCTGACCTGAATCCAACCCGATCCGTTCCTAAACTGACCCGAATTTAACCCAACCTATTACAAACCCAACTTGTTATTGACCTGACCAAAATTCAACCCAAATTGTTTCTGACCCGATTTCAAATCACCTTAAATGTATTTAGACCACCTTGTTGATCAAAGCATTTTTTCTAGGAAGACCAAGTCGGTCCAAGCCAGCAAAAGAAAGGAGCATCATCCTCAAATTTAGGAGTTAAATATAATATATATTTGTTGTATGGTCAAAGAAGATATTATCTTCCTAAATTAAAGACTATAGTTCTCTAGTATATTGTCATATATATTATAGTCAAAGAAAATAATTAGCTTGATAAAAATGATAATTATCTATTTATATTTAGTTGAACCCGAATATGACCTGACTTGAAAATGACCCAACCTGATTGTAACCCGCAAATTATTGACTTGAACATAACCCGACTTGAATTCGAGAATGACCCGACTTGGAAATGACCTAACCTGATAATAACCCGCAAATTATTGACTTGAACCGAACCCGACTTGAACTCGAGAATGACCCGACTTGAAAACGACCCGACCTAATTATAACCTACAAATTATTAACTTGAACCGAACCCGACTCAAACCCAAGAATGACCCGACCCGATTCTAACCCGCAAATTATTGACTTGAACTGAACCGGACTCGAATCCGAGAATTACCCTAACCCGAATTAAACCCGACCTATTGTTCATCCGACCCGAATGTAACCCGACCTGTTATTAACCCGACCCAAACTCAATAAGAAGTATGACCCGACGTGACCCGACTCAAGCATGACCAAACCCAAACCGCATAGGTAATGGAATTAATCCGAATTGACCCGACCCGAGTTGACCCGACCCTCTCTTACCGACCCAAACCCGACCCATTTACCCGAATTGACAGCTCTACCCGAAACCTCCAAAATTTTTCAAAAAATGTGGATATTAGCCTTTAATTTTTGAATTTTTTTGACTTTTTTCACCCGAAAAATAAAAATTGCCGTAATTTTTACCATGGTCCCTAATATTCTCCGGGAGTCCAATTGGTTGGGTGGTACTATCCAATTTGCCTTTAAACGACAAATTTACCGGTTAACAACTTGCACCGATATCATTAACTCAAGCCTATCATGAACATTTATGACAACAAATAATGATCATATATGGGTTCAAACGACATTATATGACCATGAGATGTATTCCCTAAAATTTAAAGACTTTTAGACACCAGGCCCCGAAAAGCGTAGATATTAGCCTTCAATTTTTAATTTTTTGACTTTTTTCGCCAGGAAATAAAAAAATGCCGAAATGTTTACCATGTTCCCTAATTTGCCTTTTAAACGGCCAATTTACCGATTTACAACTTGCACCGTGTTATAGATTAATGTCTACTACTTGTAATTAAACGCAAAGAACAATAATTAGGGGAAAGCTTGATGTATTTGATTGAACGGAAATGGAATTACAAAGGGATAACCATAACTTGAGGTTATGAATCTCTTAGTAGCTTTAGGCTACAACTCTCTATTGTGTTTCCTCACTGATTTCTAGATACCTTTTCTAAAGAAGTGATTACATTACTTATATACTCAAGCTTAAGGAACACATGTGACTAACTTAGCTAAGAATGGAAAAACCATAAAAAGACATTGTTGAAATAACTTGCTTGATTTCCTTAATTCCCCTTTAATTAGCTTTGTCATCTTGCAAATTGTTCTTTCCCACCTTTGACCCCTGCTGTCCTGTTTTGCGCGCCTAGCATACACCAAAAGTGGTGGTTGATGTGGTTCCTTGACCCCGTTGACCCGTTCCATTACACACCGATTTCATTAATTCAAGCATACCACGAATATTTATGACAACAAATAATGATCACATATGGTACCAAACGGCATTATATGACCCCGAGATTTATTCCTTAGAATTTCAAGACTTTTCGACACCGAGCTCCAAAACCTTGAAAATTTCGCAAAATGCGTGGATTAGTCTTCAATTTTAGCATTTTTTGGCTTTTTTTCACCTGCAAATAAAAATTGCTGAAATGTTTACCATAGTTCCTAATACCATTCAGGAGTCAAATTGGGAGGGTAAAAATATCCAATTTACCTTTAAACGGCCAATTTACCGATTTACAAGTTCATCGATTTTATTAACTCAAGCCTACCACGAACATTTATGACAACATATAATGATCATATATGGTTCTAAACGACATTATATGTTCACCCCGAGATGTATCCCCTAAAATCTTAAGATTTTAGACACTGGACCCCGAAACCTCCAAAATTACTTAAAAAGCGTGGATATTAGCCTTTAATTTTGGAATTTTTTGACTTATTTTCGCCCGGTAATAAAAATTTCCGATATGTTTACCATGGTCCCTAATACCCTCCGGGCATCCAATTAGGTGGGTTAACTGTCCAATTTACCTTTAAACGCACAATATATCGGCTTACAACTTGCACCGATTTCATTAATTCAAGCCTACTACAAACATTTATGACAACATATAATGATCATATATGGTTCCAAACGGCAGTATATGACCCCAAGATGTATCTACTAAAATATCAAGACTTTTCAACACCAAGCCCCGAAACCTTCGAAATTTCTCAAAAAAGGTGAATATTAGCCTTCAATTTTGGAATTTTTTTGACTTTTTTTCGACCGGAAATAAAAAATTGCCGAAATGTTTACCATGGTCCCTAATACCCTCCATGAGTCCAATTCGGTGGGTGGAACCATCCAATTTGCCTTTAAACGACCAATTTGCCGGTTTACAACTTGCACCGATTTCATTAATTCAAGCTTACCACGAACATTTATGACAACAAATAATGATTACACATGGTTCCAAACGAGATTATATGACCCCGAGATGTATTCCCTAGAATTTCAAAACTTTTAGACACCGGGCTCCGAAGACTACAAAACTTCTCAATAAGGTGGATATTAACCTTCAATTTTTGAATTTTTTGACTTTTTTTTGCCTGAAAATAAAAATTACTGAAATGTTTATCATGGTCCCTAATACCCTCCGGGAGTCTAATTGGGTGGATGGAACCATCCAATTTTCCTTTAAACGGTCAATTTACCGGTTTACAATTTGCACCGATTTCATTAACTCAAGCCTACTACGAGTATTTATGACAACATATAATTATTATATATGATTCCAAATGGCATTATATGACCCCGAGATGTATCCCTTAAATTTTCGAGATTTTTCGACACCGGGCCTCAAAACCTTCGAAATTTCTCAAAAAGCATGGATATTAGCCTTCAATTTTGGAATTTTTCGACTTTTTTTCCCTTGTGAATAAAAATTTCCGAAATGTTTACCATGATCAGTAATATCCTCCGGGAGTCCAATTGGGTGGGTGGAACCATCCAATTTGCCATAAAACGGTCAATTTACCGATTTACAACTTGCAATAATTTCTTTAACTCAAGCCTACCACGAACATTTATGACAAAATATAATGATCATATGCGGTTCATAACGTCAAGTCGTCATTATATGACCCCGAGATGTATTCCTTAAAATCTCAAAACCTTTTCGACACCGTGCCCCGAAACCTCTAAAATTTCTCAAATATCGTGGATATAACCTTCAATTTTAGAATTTTTTTGACTTTTATTCACCCATTAATAAAAATTGCCGAAATGTTTACCATGATCTCTAATAATGTTCGGAAGTCCCATTGGGTGGGTGGAACCATCCAATTTGCCTTTAAAAGACCAATTTACCGGTTTACAACTTGCACCGATTTCATTAACTCAAGCCCACTACGAATATTTATGACAACAAATAATGATCATATATGGTTCCAAACGGCATTATATGACCTCGAGATATATCCCCTATAATTTCAAGACTTTTCGACACTTGGCCCCAAAACCTCCAAAATTTCTCAAAAAACGTGGATATTAGTCTTCAATTTTGGAATTTTTTGACTTTCTTTCGCCCGAAAATAAAAATTGCCGAAATGTTACCATGGTTCCTAATATCCTCCGGGAGTCCAATTGGGTGGGTGGAACCATCCAATTTTTCCTTTAAACGCCAATTTACCGGTTTGATACTTACACCGATTTCATTAATTCAAGCCTACCACGAGTCCACGAACATTTATGACAACAAATAATGATCACATACGGTTCCAAACGGCATTATATGACCCCGAGATGTATCTTGTAGAATTTCAAGACTTTTCGACACCGGGCCCTGAAATCTCCAAAATTTCGTAAAAAGCGTGGATATTAGCCTTCAATTTTGGAATTTTTTGGCTTTTTTTCGGCCGGAAATAAATTGCATAAATGTTTATCATAGTCCCTAATACCCTCCGGGAGTCCAATTGGGTGTGTGGAACCATCCAATTTGCTTTTAAACGGCCAATTTACCGGTTTACAACTTGCACTGGTTTACCGGTTTACAACGGCCAATTTAATTAACTTGCACCGAACCCGACTTGAACCGAAATTGACCAAACCCGTTTTAACCCGTCAAAACCCGTATTTAACCCGACTTATTACTAACCTGACCTGAATTCAACCCGACCCGTTCCTAACTCGACTAGAATTTAACCCAACCTGCTACAAACCCGATCCAAAAATTCAACCCGATCTGTTACTAACCCGACTCGAAATTAAGACAACTTGTTATTGACCCGACCTAAATTCAACCCAAATTGTTCCTGATCCGTTTTCAAATCACCTTAAATGTAATTTAGACCACCTTATTATCATTGATCAAAGCATTTTGTCTAGGAAGACCAAGTCGGTCCAAGCCAGCAAAAGAAAGGAGCATCATCCTCAAATTTAAGAGTTAAATATAGTATATATTTGTTGTATATTCAAAGGAGTTAATTATCTTCCTAAATTATAGACAATAGTTCCCTATTATATTGTCATATATATTATAGTCAAAGGAAATAATTAGCTTGATAAAAATGATAATTATCTATTTATAGTTAGTTGAACCCGAATATAACCTGACTTGGAAATGACCCGACCTGTTGTAACCTGCAAATTATTGACTTGAACATAACCCAACCTGAATCCGAGAATGACCCGACTTGAAAATGACTTAACCTAATTATAATCCGCAAATTATTGACTTGAATCGAACCCGACTCAAACCCGAGAATGACCCGACTTGAAAATGACCCGACCTGATTATAATCCGCAAATTATTGACTTGAACTGAACCCGACTCAAACCCGAGAATGACCCGACCTGATTCTAACCCGCAAATTATAGACTTGAACCGAACCCGACTCGAACCCGAGAATTACCGTTTTAACCCTAAAAACCCGAATTAAACTCGACCTATTGTTCACCCGACCTGTTATTAACCCGACCTAAACCCGACCCAAATCCGATAAGTATGACCCGACGTGACCCGACTCAAGCATGACCCAACCCAAACCAGACCCGCATAGGTTACGGAATTAATTTGAATTGACCCGGCCCGAGTTAACCCGACCCACTCTTACCCAACCCAAACCCGGCCCGTTTACCTGAATTGGCAGCTCCAGATATCGCAGAAAACCATTTATAAGAACTGACAAGAAATTACTAATAGGATAAACCCTTTTTTCTGCAATTTTTGTAAACCTGGAAATGTTGGCATACCTTAGGAAAACCCATTGTAAATGGCACTGCAAGAATAGCAAAGATCCTTGAGACCTTCTTCATTTTATTAGAGTTGGGATTACCTTCAAAGCCTTCTTGCATGTTGTACTAAGGTTAGTGAAACAGCAATAAAATGTTAGTAACAGCACCCTCCAGGACGATAAGAAAGAGACAACAAATAAGACAGAGAATTAGAAATAGAAGAAGATAAGGAATGCAACGGCAAGAGGTGCTCAGAAGTACATCAAAACTCCTTACCTCTACAAGGACCAAGAATGATAGTGATGCTAGAACTGGAAAAATAAACAGATTATCTGGAGTAGTGAGATCTGTGAACCAGAGCGCTCCACCAGATTTCATTGATGGAACCTTCTCAACCATGTTTGAGATCTGATACATAAATACAGAGTTTTGAGATGAAAATTAGAATAGTACTGTTAAAATCAAAAGATTTGAGATGTTTACAGGAATAAAATCTTACAGCTAAGAAAAAGCTGATGAAGATAGGGCCTTGAATTAGAAGTCCTTTCAATGGAGTGAGTGGGCTAGCTCCATATCTGTCATCGATCCGCAACGAAGAAAATTAGACACTAACATGTGTCCAGCATTTTCAGCCAACACAGCAAGACTAACTTATGCAAATTAGTGGATCTCTCGGACAGTGAGATACTGAGATGTCCAAGAACAGGATCCATACCCTGAAAAATATAATCACTTACTGTTTTAGCAAAGCATTCATTTCCTTTTGGCCTTCAGCAACAGCAACAGGATCCATACCCTGAAAAATATAAATCAGGATAAATAGTTAACACCTATCAAACAACTAATATGAAATGAAAAAAGGCATAAACATGAATATTGGTAAGCCTCAAAATTTTTATCTAAGAATAAATAAATCTAACCTAATACGCGAACATCAGGTGGGGAGTTCATACCGAAGCTTGCACCGTCTGTTTTATCTCCTCCAACCGTGGTCTTATCAACTACACAGGAATGAATTGCATCAAAATGGCATATTAGAATATATAAAATACAAATCTAACACAGAGCAAGTTAGCATGAAAACAGTAAGGATTGCATGCATCAGACCTTCATCATGCAAATGTAAGAGATGGGTCACAACGCCTAACAACATTACCTCTTTTTTAGTACATTTACCAGCTGCAACCCCCCCCCTCTCTCCAAACCACCACGCACACGCACACACACACACACACAACTAAAAAAAATTAAAAGGGAAACAAATAGCATTAGAAGTATAAAAACTAATTGTGAAATGGCAACTAGCAAACAATGTCAATTACACTGCACTTTTCTTATTATTAGACATTACAATCAAACATACCACACTAAGATAAGAAATACAGTTGTACAAAACAGATTTTTTTAATCAACAGCGGGTCAGTGGTAACAAATAACAATGATATCCAAAGAATGTAACATATCCAATATGAATAGCTATATTACTGATAAGAGAAGAAACAAGGAGTCGTTACTCAAATATTCAAGCACAAAGACTCACATTGAGTTTATAAGTAGCTTTGAGTTGACTGATGAGTAAAGGCAATGTTGCTCCTCGAATTAAAATAGTTGTTACAGCAATAGCTGCCCACCTGGAAGATAAAGAGAGCTAAAATATGAAATCCAGGACAAAATCGGACTAAAATACAGCGAATTCGATAATATGGTGAGGCCTCAAGTTGACTGATGAGTAAAGGCAATGTTGCTCCTCGAATTAAAATAGTTGTTACAGCAATAGCTGCCCACCTGGAAGATAAAGAGAGCTAAAATATGAAATCCAGGACAAAATCGGACTAAAATACAGCGAATTCGATAATATGGTGAGGCCTCACAATGACCGATCTAGATCACATATTACTTACTAGAATTTAAGCCTTTAAGGACTTCTCATCCAATCCTTCTTTGTCAGCTATTTTTTATGCTTCCGCCTTTCATATATTTTCTATTGCTTCCGGACCAAAGGTTTAGACTTCATACCCCCAACCCCTCAACAAAACACCTTTATAGTTCTAGTCATACAAGAAAGAAAAACACTAGCATAACCTAATAGAAAAAGTCAAGAGATATCCTCTATTCAGATTATTGTCCAGCAATAAGAATAGGAGATTCTATCTCAATACAATTGTCAAGGTCTCAAGGATATCCTCCTTCCACTCCAGCCCTCTGCCAAAAAAAAAGGCAAGTTTTCATCTCAATTCCTTGCCCACTTTTAGATATGCAAGAGCATATACTGATATTAGTCAAAAGGATCTCTCCTTCCAAGCTAGCTCTCCACCGTAAAAAATGGAACTTCCCATCTCACCACCTTTCCCTCTTTATTCCAATCTCACCACAGATAAAAGTCAAGGAATCGATTAAATAGAAACTAAAATAACATAGCAAAAGGAGGGTATACCAATTCAATCCAGTAAATGAATGAACAGCATCAATCAAGTGTTGCAGTGCAGCAACTGGGAAGGAGGAATCAGCAGCTGCAACAGCCACCTCATTAACGGCAGGAGCTACTGAAGAAACTGCTTCCACAGTTTCATCAGTAAAAACATGGGCAATGTCACCAAGATTGTCAACTTTGTCAGAGCCTTCTGTAGTTGCACTTGACATGTATCTAGGCAATGACGGTCCAATCCCAGCTGCTGCTGGGAAAAGAAAAGCAGGCAAACATTTCTTCTGCCCACAAAGTGATCCGAAACCCCCATTACCACCTATGTTATTTCTAGTATGATTCTGTGACATAACAATATCGCTAATTCCATATCCAGGTTGACTTGGACACGGCGATTGAAAATTCTCATCACTTTCATGATCGCGATGAACAATGTGGCTCAATGACGGGTGGTACCATCTCCGCAAGAGAGTGCCCTGTCTTTTTAACATCAATCGGCAAGCCATCTGAATATTTAGAGGAGGAATTAGATCAGGTACCCCAACACAAGACAAATACAACACCCAAAACCCGACTTTGGTATAACTGTTCAAAGAAACAGCTGCAATTCACAATACATACATGATTTTGATTGATTCCCTTAAAGAAAGCAATCAAGAAACCAATCATCTAAACTACACCACCAAAAAAGACAGCTTAAAATACAGAAAAACAACACAAACCCTAATTTCCCACATGGATGAATGCACAGAGGCAGCAACTAAATTGAACAGAAATGGAAGTGAGTAAGTTAGTACAATCATCTTCAAAACAATTCGCATTATCATAAACCTAATTGCTAACTTGAAAATGCAATTTGGAAACACAGACATAAATTGAGCATGATAAAAATCAAAGAAATCAGTCATAAATAATTAAGCAAAGAATAACCTGAATGAAACTAAACAACGTGGAAGAACGATCAAAACCCTAGCATCAAAACAATAATCACTTCCGACATTGTTGACGGGAATCGCTAGAATGAGAACCGAGCAAGTGTGGCTGATGAGTTCTAGGGCTGTGCAGGAAAATCCGAATATCCGAAAATCCGATTCGTATCCGATCCGTTTTTTTAGGATATCCGTTCCGATATTTTTTTCGGATCGGATATCCGATTCGAAAAAGTCGGATATCGGATACCAACTCGGATAGTAAATTTTCAGATTTCGGATATCCGAATATCCGATAAAAATCGAATATCGGATATCCGTATCCGAATTGATATCCGAAAATTAAGCTGGGCTTGGCTTTTTGGGCCTAAAATAGTAAAATCTAAAATATAAACTTGTATGGGCACTGTTTTTCCTTAATCTTGGGCTTTTTTCAATTTAAATTGTTTCTACTTATGTCGACATAACTCCAACTATGTATTTTTTTCTATTTGAACTCCAATTATGTATTTTTGTTGTGTACTAGTCTAGATGTGTCAAACCTTAATCTAAAAAAAAGTTCTAGATGTGTCAAAAATTCACCCGATTGATACAATCTACAAAAATTAAATTCAAATATCGACTTATTTGGAAATAATAATTTTGTATGTCTCAAATTAAAAATAGATTCGATCCAACTTCACGGAATCCAAACACTTGAATGACACCTCTATGTCCTACTATATCAATTTTATTTTATTTTTTAGTTTTTGTTTTATATATTGGTGGGTAAGGAGAACGACCATACTAGATCAATATCTTTTTCAAGTAAACCAACTTAGTTACGTATAGCAGGCTTTTGGGAAGGGGGTGGGGGAGATAAGGGAACCTCCAGCTTTTAAGAACCACATCCAGTAGTAGGGGTGATTATGAGACAAGACAACTCGCGAGCTACTCGAGCTCGACTCGGTCAAAACTCGACTCGAGTGAGCTTGATTCGAAATGTTAATGAGACGAGTCGACTCGAAAGCTCGTGAGAAGCTCGAATTCCTTTATATAATATCATATTCACTAAAAATTAAATTATTTTGATAAAAAAAACTTTTTTTTTATATTAATAATTAATAAATAAAACGTTATTTATGTACTCGTATCATCATATGTATACACTAAAATGAAAACTCGACTCGCATCATAAGCACCCCTAGCCAGTAGGAATCGAAACCCATGAAGTCGTGAGGTGATACTCTTATCAACTACACGTCTACACCAAATACTACCTGGTCACTAAATCTTGCTATTCTCAATACTTAAGTTAATCAATTTAATTGTCATTCATATGGAGTATTATGGGGTTAATGGTAATTATATAACGATCATCAGATCATGTATGTTATTACTGTACTTTTTAAAGATGACTTCTGATCTATTTACTCTGTAATTAACAAAACCTTAAACTTAGAAGTTAGAATTAATTTCAAGAAATAAATTGCCGGCTCAATCATGATGAGTAAGAGTGATCATTGATTATCGTTACCGATTTACCGAATCGAATAGTCAATTTAATATCCTACCTTATTGAGTATTCAATAATCAATAAAACTAAAAGTATTCAATAATCAACAAAACTAAAAGGATGCCCATGAATTGAATTAACTTTGGGTATAATGTTTTGATTTTTAAACAAATACGGAGTACATATTTTCCAAATAAATTTGAAAGTGATCGAATTTAAAATTTAATCATCATAATACTTTGAATTATTTAACTAGTATTACCAATTTACGGATTTACCACATGATCTTGACTACATTACTAAAGTCTAAACCAGTAAACAACTAAACCTCAATCCCTCTTTCTCATTCTCAATTTCTCAGTCGCCTCCTCTTCTGCTCTCTGTCTCTCTCAGACTCTCATTCTCAATTTCTCAAATTCTCAGTCGCCTCCCTCTCTGCCTCTCTCAACTCTCATTCCTTCTCGCCGGCCGCCGCATGCTTGACTGCTTCCAAGTTCCTTCTCGCTCAGGTAAAACTCCATCTCTCTTTACAAATTTCACAACTTACTGAAATTAGGGTTTTTTTTGAATACTTGAATACTTGAATGCTATATGAAATTTTGAATCACCCATTGATTAATTTGTGTATATCTGAAACTTGAAATGCTGTTGAGTATCTTGAATGTAGGAAGTCTGTTTTTGAGTTGATGTTGATTTCTTTCGTTTTTTTCATTTTCGTCTTGTAAAGAGAAAGAGACTCCCTTCAACTCCCCTTCTTCAACAAGACTCTCAATTAGATTTGCATAAATCATAAATTAACAATTTTTAATCTAGTTTATCTTAATAGTTCTCTGATTCCCTCCTAAAATTAATCAAATGGGTATGTCTGAAACTGGAGAAAAAATTAATCAAATGGGAATTCTTATTTAATTTTGCTTTGATTTAAGATTTAATGATAATATAGAATTGTGCCTACTAGAAAATTTAGTATTTGATGTGTCTTGAATCAAACTATTTTATCAGTTGCATGCACACACTGTTCGTTGGACGAGTGTCGGGTTCTTAACGGTTATAAACGATTTATCTATGATGCACATTGTATGTTATAAGGTCTCAATTGAGTCATAGTTGTTCTACCTATAATGAGACTATTTATATGCTTATTTCTAGTATAACTAATTGAACAAATTGATGTCTGAAGTTTGCTGCAGACTCTGTATTTTAATCATGATCTCAAAATGTTATTTTGGAATTTGATTTTGTCTTTGTAGGAGGAGCCATAATTTTCTGCTACTGAATTTTTTTCTTTTTTTGGGTGTTCATTATTAACAATAGTTGTCATATATGGTCTTTCACATATTAACATACTCTTATAGTGACAGATTTATGGAGGATATGACAGGGGAGAGTGCTACTGCTACCCCCTCAAGTGTTAACCCCTCAAGTGATGATCCATTGACATCTACGGCAAATGCTTCACAACCAAAGCCACAAGATGTTCCACCTGATTCGGAGGCACAAATTCCAACCGAGAGAGCGCCGGATGGTCTTAGAGCTCCAAAAAAAGGTAAGAAGAAAAGATCTTGGGTTTGGGATCACTTTTTGTTATTCACAAGAGATGGGGATAAGAGGGCTAAATGTAACTATTGTGAAACTGATGTTTGTGGTGACTCAAAGAGTGGTACAACTGTTATGCAAAATCATCTTAAAAGGTGCAAAGAATACCCTCCTAACATTGATAAATCACAAAGACTTCTTTCTTTGAAAAGTGAGAAAACTGAACAAGTTAAGGGAGATGGTAGTGTGGATGAAAATATGTCGGGGACATTTGTAAATGGGAGAAAAGGTAGATTAGATCTTTGGAAATTTAAGCAAGATGAATGTAGAAAAGCATTTGCAAAGATGGTCATAATACATGAGAAACCTTTTAGATGTTGTGAGCATGAGGGTTTTCGCTATTTCATGTCATTTGCACAACCCAACTTTGTTTTCCCCTCTCGTTTTACTGTGGCAAGAGATTGTTATCGTATATATGTAGAGGAAAAAAAGAAGCTAAAAAGTTACTTTTCCAAGTCTTCTTCTCGCATTTGTCTTACTACTGATACTTGGACATCATGTCAAAACTTGAGTTACATGTGTTTGACTGCTCATTTCATAGATGATAATTGGATATTGCACAAAAAAATCTTAAATTTTTGTCTAATTAGCGGTCATTCTGGTGAGGCTATTGGTAAAGGGATAGAAAAATGCTTGCTTGAGTGGGGCATTAGTAGAGTCATGACTATAACAGTGGACAATGCTAGTTCAAATGATGTAGGTATTCAATACATAAGAAGAAGACTTCAAAGATGGAAAGATGGGGCTGTGTTGGGGGGAAAATTTGTGCATATGCGTTGTGCAACTCATATTCTCAATTTGACTGTGAGGGAGGGTTTGAAAGAAAATGATGAGTCAATAAAAAGAATAAGAAATGGGGTAAGGTTTGTTAGATCTTCTCCCGCAAGATTGCAGAAGTTTAAGAATTGTGTCAATCAAGAGCAAATTGAGTCTAAACGTCATCTTTGCTTAGATGTTGAAACTAGGTGGAACTCAACTTACTTGATGTTGGAATATGCTTCTATTTATCGTAAGGCTTTTGATTTGCTTGAAACTTCTGATGGTGGTAAATTTAATGAAGAATTGACAAAGTCTAATGGTGTTCCAACTGATGATGATTGGGATCGTGTTGCTTCGTTGCTCCCTTTTCTTAAGATATTTTATGATGCTACTTTAAGACTTTCTGGGTCCTTATATGTTACTTCTAATGTGTATTTGCAAGAACTTGTTACCATTGGAAAGATGATAAAGAGAAAGTGTGAAAGTAGTGATCTTGGTGAAAGATTAATGGCCCATGGAATGAAAAGAAAACATGATAAGTATTGGGAAAATGTGAATAATATCAATTTGATGTTGTATGTTGTTGTTGTACTTGATCCAAGGCGAAAGATGCAATATGTGAAGTGGGCTATTGATGATCAATATGATTTGGATAAGGGTAAAGAGTTGTATGATAAGACTAAGGATGCGTTGAATTCTTTGCACGAACATTATGCCTCTCAACAAACACAAAGTGGGTCAAGTCCATCCAATATGGTTGATTTAACTACAAGAGACTTGGAAAGCTTTGAGGATTGGCATGACATGGCTGAATTTGAATTTGAGAGAGATATAGGAAGTCAAAGCAATCTTGAGAAAAAGAGTGATTTGGATAAGTATCTAAATGATGAAAGAGAACCTAACACTATTGGAAAGAGCTTTGATGCCTTAGATTGGTGGAAGAATCGTGGGGAAAGATATCCTATAGTAGCTCTTATGGCGAAAGATGTGTTAGCTATTCCCGTGTCCACTGTAGCGTCTGAATCTGCATTTAGTACGGGTGGACGAGTACTTGATCCATTTCGTAGCTCACTTTCATCAAATATGGTTGAAGCTTTGATATGTGCTCAAGATTGGTTGCGAAATACTCGTGGTCCTTTAGTAGTTGAATAAAATCTTGAAGATATTGAGAGAATTGAAGAAGGTAAAACATTTTATTAGTTATTATGTTTTTTTTTTAATTAATTTGCATAATTTAGTTTTAACTTCTAACTAATTTTTTATTCTATATTCTTTTTAAAAATTGTTGTGTAGAGTTA